TGCCATGGCGACAACGGTAAGTGAAGTTTTGTGGGTTTGATAGTTACTTCGTGAGTTGGAAGCACCCCCTATCGAACCAACGCCCCTCTTTTGTGACAACCAAGCAGCTCGACATATCGCCAACAATCCGGTTTTCCATGAAAGGACCAAGCACGTTGAAATGGATTGTTATTTTGTTCGTGAGCGAATGGAATCGAAAGAAATTAAGCCTTTATATATGTTGACGCCAAACTACAAATCGCTGACCTGTTCACGAAGCCCTTAGGTGCTCAACAACTTCAATCACTTCTTGGCAAGTTGGGTATTGTCAATCTACATACTCCAACTTGAAGGGGAGTATTGGAGAATATTAAATTTAACCATATCTAGTCCTTATTTTGTTGCCAAATTATTAGGGATTATCATTATAATTTAGGGATTATCATGATGGCTTTCCTTATTATAGCTTTTCTTATTTTTCTCTTTCAATCTAGTATATTTATCTTGATAACCTTTGAAGGAAAATTAATAGAAACCAATTTTTTCAAAACGTTACAATTAAAGGCATTGTAATAAGTTTGTATCTTATTCTTTTAGGGTCGTAACAAGTTTTTTAGAATACTTTTATTAAAAATCGCCGTACTAACAATCTTATAGAACATTGTTTAAAAATGTCTTATAAAAACAAATGTTCTATAAAAAAGATGGGTCTTTATGATATTTTCTCAAAAATATCTTATAAAATAGTTAATACGACACTTTATATTAAAAGTGTTGTAACAAATTGTTACGACGCACAAAAATATTATATAAACTTACTATAACGTTTTTAAATAGGACTTATATTTTTTTGGTCTTATACTAACATGCTTATACGTTTTTGTTTTTAGATCTGTTCATCGAATATATTTTGGTTTTTTCTATCATCCATATTCAATGAACATATCACAATCAACTTTAAACTATTTAATTATTGTAGTTGGTTTTTTCTTAATAAACAATTGTTTTTATAGCATTGGAAAGGAAGTTAAATGACTACGAATTCAAACCCATGCGAAGCATCAAAGAAGATACATGCATCACGTATGTATAAAGAAATTAACGATCGAATATAAAAATGAATTTTGACCATTGATGATATTGTAATATATATAAGATAGAATATATATATATATATATATATACATGTATATATTGATAGGCCAACATAGAACAAGAAGTATATTCAAATGGCTGGAGATAAAGTGAAGCTATTGGGATTTTGGGGAAGCCCTTTTGCACTTCGTGTCGAATGGGCACTCAGACTAAAAGGGGTCGAGTATGAATATGTTGAAGAAGATCTCTCGAACAAAAGTCCGATGCTTTTGCAATATAATCCTTTGTACAAGAAGGTACCGGTTCTAGTGCACAATGGTAAACCGATCATGGAGTCGCTTGTGATAATTGAGTACATCGATGAGACATGGAAGAATCGTCCGCTACTTCCAATAGATCCTTTTGAGAGGGCTACATCTCGTTTTTGGGCAAAATTTGTCGATGATAAGGTACACCATATAACTATAATGATTATTCTTGTTAATTGTTTTGGTTCATTTCGTAAAAAAACGATCTTTTTTTCTCAATTCAAAATTTGTTATATCATACTTTAATTTAACCGGTAACCCACCGATTTATAACATTTGATTAGCAAATGTCAAGTTGTCAAGTTACGTTAATTGATCAAAAAGGTTACATGTCATATCAAAAGGTAATTGTATGAGACTTGAAAAAGTATCTTATAAAAAAAATTAATAGGGCATTTTATCTCAAAAACGTACAAAAAACTTGTTAAGACACTTACAAGTGTCGTAAAAATGTATTGCAACACTTTTGCATAGGAGGATTGTTTACTCTATAAATTTATGTTCTATGAAGAGGTGTATTAAGACATCTTGTTATTTTTGACTCCATATAAACCCAATGTAGTCTTTTGAAATTTTGTAATATTGATTTGGAAAATATTTCTTCTTGTCCTTAATACGAACTACAATAAACTTGGTCGCATCATGATTCATTTTAGAGTGAATTATACGTTTAGTTTATGTTCCTATATGGTTTACTCAAAATCACATAGGGCATCATTAAAATCAAATAAATACGGAGAAACTCTATGAAAACCTCTTATTCTTATCTATAACTCTGTTAAAAAAATATGTTATCTTATTTTAGCGCAGAAGTATGTTAGTCATTTTACTTATTTATAAGAACCCCTCCCCAACCAAAACGTCTTCATCTTCCTCTATCCCCCTTCACTATAAACCATTCTTGAAGTGACCACCCTGTCCTTCCCTGGTGAAACTACACTGCGAAACCCATCATCACCCCGTCTTCAGCTTCCCCCACCACCCTGTCCTTCCATTTGATTTGATGGAATGTTTTTAAGAGATTCGGATGTCAAATCCTTAGTGTCTATGATTTGGAATGGAACTGAATTTTATTCTTCTATAAATCTTGTTTGCTTTGTAGGGTTTAGAATAAAATTTAAATGTTTTTTAAATGTTGGTTTGCTTTACAAATAATTTGTTTGTTTGGAGGCAATTTTGATGAAAGAGAACAATTGAAATTTATGGGATTGGGATTTGTATTTGAAATGACAATCATCTCCAAAGGATTTCTTGATCCATCGGTTGTGGAATTTCATTGAAATCTCGGGATTTCAAATCCAAACTTTCCTTCAAACCAAATACGAATTTAGAATGAAAATCAATTTTAGATCCTATCAAATTTCACAAACCTAACGGGCTTATGTTCCAAATGGTTTTTAAATTTCCTAATGAAGCACCATCTCCAACCTCTTGTTGTTGGTTTCCCTCTCCGGTGAAAATCTAGAACGAAAAACAGCCCAACGACCCTCTCGTTGTTGCTTCCAAGCTCAAGATAGCATTTTTCAAGCTCATAGGTATTTATAAAAATTGAGTAAATTACAAATTTGGTCCTGTGGTTTGTCGGATATAAAAGTTTTCGTTCTTACAATTTTAAGAATACAAGATGGTCAATCGTAGTTCGTAAAAACGTTGGAATCTGATCACTCCCTCTAATGACCGTTAAAAAAACTTGTTTAAGTGTGGGCATTTTAGACTTTTTGTCATTTCCTCTCACTATTCTTTTAAAATAATTAAGTAATGTATGTATGTGTGTGTATATATATGTATATATATTATAAGGGGAGGAATAAAATGCAAAACAAACCATTAGTATAAACCGTGAAAATTTCATTTAATCAATCATAATTTTTTTTTCATCTTTTAATTATAAGGGTTGATTAGTCATTTCTATTGTGAAGGGCGTTAAATATGAACATTATCATTTTCATTTTATTAATATTAGTAAAAAGTTCATTAAAATAAGAAATACATGAAAAAAATTAATTCTTCCATAAAACCAAAAATATCTGAAACAATTTCATCTAGAAATGAATTATTTGAAACAATTTCATCATATTAAACAATTTTATGAAATTTTTTTACTAAATTAAACAATGAAATCGACAGTTTTCATGATTTGTACTAATGACTTGGTTTGCATTTATCCCTCCCCTATATTATAAAGCATTTAGGCTATATTCTTCAAAACTATTTTTGGCATCAAGTACCACTTATTAATACATATTAATTAAAATTCAAGATTACAAGTTAATTAAGCATAAGTTTAACTTATTAAACCTTCATGTTTAAACTCGTATAACTAACTCCAGATAAACACAAATACTAATTAAGTACTACAAAATGAAATACTTATTTTTATTTTCTAAAATATCTAAAATTTTAAAACAACTTAATATAACTAACAAATAAACATAAGAAAATCCGAGATACACACCTTATTTTATTTTTTTACTAAAGTATATTATCTTTTTAATTTTAAATATAAAATACCTTAAGATGAAACACTTATTTTTATTTTTAAAATATCAATAATTTTAAAACTTTTCATATAAATAACCGATAAACATATGAAAATTCGAGATACAACATGTCATTTTATTTTTTTATTAAAGTATATATTATCTCTTTAATTTTAAATAAAATATCTTAAATATAATTATCATTTTAAGTTAAACGATCTTTGACCCGTAATAAAATACTTTATCATATTTTTATTAAAAATTATAACTAAACCAAATAAAATATATTTTTATTTTAAATCTAAATTATAATAAAACTTAAACTAAATAAACTAAACATTATAATTAGAATTTTATAGCTTTTACTTAGAAACTCATATTGATATATAGATTAAGATAAAATAATAATCAACTCAAATCTAGACTTCTTCGTAAAATAAAATCGAGAAAAACAAACAACAAAACAAAGTATCTATATCGATATCTATATTATTTTATAAAACATTTGATAAAAACTTTCAAAAACCATTTTTTTTATATGTGAAGTATTGTTTATTGATGCATATTACTTAAAATTCAAGATTACAAGTAAATTGTGCATAAGTAAGCTTACTAAAGCTCCATCTTTGAATTCATGTGACGAACTGCAGATAAATATAATTAAATTCAACATAAACATCTTATTTTAAATATAAAAAATCTACAATATAATTAGCTTAATTATTAAGTTTTTTAATTATTATCTTTATACAAATTATATTATTAAACAAAAAATAAATTATTTTGTTATCAACCCTAAATTAAATTATAATGAAAATTGAGTTAAAGAAATTACACAAAAAACAAAAACTTTTAAATATTTAATTTAATACTAATATCAATATATATATTTTTAAAATTTTATGATATTTTTATATTTATATTTTATTTAAAAATAAAAACATTATCGTTTGTTCAGAACCACATAAAACCGTATTATAACATCGACAAAAACAAAGAATAAAATGTAACATTAAAATCAAGATGTTTCTCGCTACATTGTCCGATTACTCTTCTAGTTTAACATTAAACCATTGAGGACAAGGTCTTAAAAATAACTTTTTATGCATCAAGTACTGTTTATTAATGCATATTATTTAAAATTCAAGATTACAAGTTGATTAAGCATACGTACTACATATTAAAGCTTAATGTTTGAATTTGTACAATTAACTGCAAAAAACATAATAAATACAGAATAAACATAAATACTTGTTTTTATTTCCTATTAAAATATGTTATCCATTTATTATTAAATATAGTTAACATTTAAATCAAACCATGGTTAACCCCGAACAAAATACTCTATGATTATTTTTATAAAAATATTCATATAAGTAAAACTAAATAAATTACATTTTTATTTTAAATTTGAATTATAAACTTTGAATAAAATTAGAAAAAGAGAATTTTATAATTGTTTAGTTTGAAATCCACATCGATTTATTAATGAAGATATCATTTGAACTTTGGATGTCGATCTCCGATCGCCGCCAATCTCCACCATCTCCTGACTCTCTTCCTTCTCTTAGTATCGACAAAGAGATAAAGGCAACAACCACTATGATCCACTATTGGCATAACTCTCACCATTTTCTTTGATGTCGGGATAGAGAACCACTACCACCACTACAACAAAATTGGGTTTATAGGATGTTATCAATTTCTAAGTAATAATATTAAGTAATAATTTCTTAAAAGTTAATAAAAGGAAAATAGAAAGTGTAAAATGTTCCTCATCTAACGGGATTTTGTAATGGTCGTTAGAGAGAGGGACCAAATCCGGATGCTTTTGTAAACTATGATGGGCATCTTGTATTTTGAACCTACAGGGACGAAAAATGTTATAACTGACAAACCATAAGGACAAAATTTGTAGTTTACTCTTCAAAAGTATACCTAGTTGAATTTCTATAACCAGCCCATTAAATACCAATTCGACTTCTTCAATCCTACCCACTCATATAAGACTTTTGATAAGAGCATTTGAATAGAAATGTTGGATTTGATAGCCCAAATAAGCCTTATTTCCATCATCAATTGATGTACAAGCAAAATGAAATTTAGTTAGCACATAGTCAGTAATTGAGTGTTCAAACTCGAATCCACTTTTAATTGCAAGGCCATGAAGAGTTATCTCCTGAATCAAATTAACTTTTCATACAATCCAAAATGAAATTCAATGGGCTCAGTTCACCCCTTCTTCGCATCAAGTAAGCAACTCTATAGCCTTCTCAAAACTACCATCCCTCTTTGAAAACCAAGCACTTAAATGCATACACTCCATTGAATGCCATTCTTACCCTCTTGTACGCAAATTCAAGGAACACACTGATTCAAAATGCTCGTAGGTTAGGGTTAAGAGCAAAAAGAAACAGGGTGGTACACATGGTCGGCAAAGATAGCAGGTGGACGACAACTTTTGGGGATGGTTCTGTTCTATCTAATGTAATATAATAATATAATATTTATTTGATTTTATAAAGTTATAAATAAAATAAGTATATGATCAAAATGCCCCTAAAAAAGAGTTAGCGACAAGGACAGGGGCATTATATAATGTAAACCATGGAGACCTTTTCCATAATTATTTCATTCGAGGATGCACAACATTTTAGGTCACAAGACCAAACATGTAATTAACACTTAGTATTTTTGTTGTTGTTGTTGTTGATTAAGTATGAATACGTAAGACAAAAAGGATATATTTACAATATTATGAAAGGACAACACAAGCTTGTCCCATGAATAGCAAGAACCAAAATGATTTTCAGTATATTCTATACATCTTAGTACATTTTCTACTTCCAGTTTGTGCCATTGATCATTAAGATGTCATCGAGTACACGAGAGCAGAAAGATAAGGTTGCAGAAGAGGCACGCGAGGTTCTGAAGACACTTGAGAGTAGTCTGAACCAGAATAAACCCTTCTATGGAGGAAAAATCTTAGGATTTATGGATATTGCAGTTGCGTGGATTGGAATATGGGCCCCAATGCTCGAGAAAATCATAGACATAAAACTTTTGGATGAGGAGTATATGCCATTGTTGAACACTTGGTTTAGAGATGTTCTTGAAGTTCTTGTTATCAAAGAGTGCATCCCCCCTCTCGACAAATTGCTAGCACACTACAAAGATTATTATGATCGATTTATGGCTACTAAATCTAATTGAACTACACATTGATGAATTTGTGCTTGTTAGAAGTTCTATGCATTGCTAGAATAAATTAAAAGTATTGGGCATAATAGGTTCCAACACTCTATCTCATCCACAACGCTATGTTGGAGAACTTGTGTCAAATCCCATTTATGGGTCTTACAGGCGTTCATTAGACTCATAATAGTTAAGTTTGAGAACAAAGATTGTACTGAATGTTTGTAATGGTTAATTCTTGTTTAATATAATGTGTTAGGAAGAAACAATAACATTACACTTTTCAAGATGTACCGGATACAAACTCTTTAGTCCATTTTGCATTGGGTCTTTGTGAAACAAGAAGCAACGTAGTTACTCATTTGGGTTCGGGCAATCCATTGCGAACCATATGTATGCCAAAAAAATATTTGATCCATGAAAAATATGTTTGTTATATTGTTGGACCATGCATGACAAAGTGAAAATATTCACTGTGATGTATTTAAAACCTCTTACGATCAAATGTACACATTGGGCACTTTGAGCAAAGCTATAGACATAACCATTAGGCAATTAATACAATTGCCTTGAGGCTTCATAATCACAAAGAACTACTATTAGGATGTATTTAGATCATGTTTGGCAATTATGAGCCAACTTAGTTTTGAGCTTATTGAAAAAGCTTTATTTATTTTGCTATAAATTAATTTATTGAAATTTTACTTGAAGTAACGTTTCAAGAACATAACTTAACGAAAAGTTACCTGAAGTAGCGATTTAATAAGTTTGAGGAGTTTCTTCCAATTATGCCCATGATTGTTATTAAATACTATTCATTTTTAGGTATTATTAGTTTATATTAATTGTAAATTATAAATTAATATAATTTAACTATATTAAATAATATTTGTTATTAATTATCAATTACTAATTAACATTTATTATTAATTGAATATTGCTTCTTAACTATTAATTATTTTGAATTATTATTAAACGACATCTTTCATTTTTAGAGTAAATTTCGTTTTTCATTCTTGTAGTTACCAAAACTCTAGCTTTGTCTCTCGACTTTATTAAACACATCCTTGGCCTTGTTACTTGCATTTCACTATGGTTAATTAGGTTCCTAGATCTAACGGTCGTTAAGAAAAGACGTCAAGTCCCCTCACGTGACTTGCATGTAAGGTGCAATTTATTCATTTTCGTCGTATTTATAGAGTAATTTCTATTGTACAAGTGTTTAAAACTTGAGTGCAAATGTTTAGAACTTTAAAAAATCCAAAAATTGTATGATTAAGAACATCTGTATCCAAAAGATAAGTACAAACTCATTCCAAACTTCTTTTCTCATGCGAGCATCAATAAAAAATTTAAGAGCATTTTTGTTTTATTAGAAAACTTTTCTTATACAAAACCAAAAATAAAACCCGAGAAAATCATCAAAACCTAGATCAAAGCTTGAATAATGTACAAAATCATTTCAAAAACATATTCCTCAACTCAAACTAGATGAAAAACGTCAACCCAGATGTTGACTGTTGCTTCAGCATTTCCATGAGCACAACATGCTTCGTTGGTATTGGTTTTTTCTAATGTGTGATACAACATGATTCCAACTGTCCCAATGCACTATATCATATAAAGCCTGTAAAGCATTTCGACCACTTAACCATTATGTATCAAACTACTCAAAAACTGCTAAAAAACTCTTATATAACTAAGATCTCAAGAACATTTGTACAAATATAAACTCAAAGACATTAAAGAAAACGGTTATACATTCAAATTTGTACATAAAACTAATTCTTAATCTGACAATAGATCCCTCTAGAATAAAAAAATTGAAATATCATTTGAGATTTTTGAACTTGTGATCTTCCATTCACCACCCAAAGAAACAATCTTCCCTTCGTTTTACCACCCCAATGAGAACCCATGACACTACTAAAAGATTTGGTATTACCTATGGATTTCTGGCAGAATTTCTGTCAGAAAATACCGACTTTCGACTGATTTTCGCCGAATCCTAAAAAAGTCAAGAAAAGTCAACTTTTGTTGACTTCCGTTATAAATCTCCCACAAAACTGTCACAAATTTTTTTTCTAAAATAAAAATTTATTTAGATAACTTTCCCGACGGACATTTGACAGATTTTTTACTTATTTATTATTTTAAAAACTGTTATAAATTCGTCAGAAATCTGTCACAAAATTGGTCTAATTTTAAAAAATAATTTATGTTAATTGATAATCATTTGCGATGGATTTTTGACGGTTGAAAATTATTTAGAATTTTATTTTATTTTATTTTTTCCCCTAAAAACAATTATGAAAAAACAAAAAATGTATTTTAAAATTTCCTACGGATTTTATTTTTTTAAATACAAAATTAAAATCAATCGGAAAAAATAAAAAATTAAAATCCGTCAGAAACTCTTCGGATTTTTTTTAGAAAAATGTATTTTTTTTTCTTTCAAAAAAGTAAATTTTTAAAGAAAATAAAAAAGAAGAAATTTAAAATCTTCAACGGGTTCCGACGGATTTTAATATTTTCATTTTAGAACAATGTTTTCATATTTTTAAAGAAAACAAAAAAGTATTTGTAAAACCTCCGATGATTAAAAGCCGTCAGAAATGTTTTTTTTTTAATTTTAGTTTATTTAGTTTAAATTGGCCTTTAAGGGATATTATTTGTACTTTAATATGTTTAATGCTTTATTAGGTTAAATTGAGGGTTTTAATGGATATTATTGGGATTTAATGGATCTTAATAGACTTTAATGGACATATACGGATTTATTGGATTCAACTAGGCTCTAATGTTTATATTGGCCCTTATTCGGTTGAATTGGGCTTAACAGTTACTATTTGGACATTAATGAATCTTAATGATATATTGGACTTTATTCCGTTCAACTGGGCTTTAACGTGTACTAATGGAATTTATTCGGTTCAATTGGGGTTTAAAGGGTACTTTGAGATTTGATGAATCTTAGTGGACTTTAATGAATCTATTGGGCTTTAACGGGTAATGTTCGGTTTTAATGGATTTTAGTGGAATTTAATGGATTTATTGAGCTTTAACGTTTACTATTGGGCTTTCACGATACTATTGAGTTTTAACGGGTACTATTGGGCTTTCACGATACTATTGAGCTTTAACGGGTATTATTGAGCTTTAACGGGTACTATTGGGCTTTATTTGGTTTAATTGGGCTTTAACAAGTACTATTGGGATGCAATGAATCTTAGTGGACTTTAATGGACATATCGAGTTTTATTCGATTCAATTGAGTTTTGACATGTATTATTGGACTTTAATAGATCTTAGTAGATTTTATTGGACGTATTGAGCTTTAATGGTTTATATTGGCGTTTTAATAGATTTGTTGGACCTTATTCGGTTCAACTGACTTTAGCGGATACTATTGGGTTTCAAAGGATGTTAGTGGGGTTTAATGAACATATTGGACCTTATTCAATTTTATTAGATATATTGAACTTTATTCGGTTTTACTGAAAATAAAATGAAATTTACCAAAAAATAAAATGAAACTTACCAAAAATATTTATTTTAATAGAATGAAATCTACCAAAAATAAAACATTTGTATGTTTATACAATTTACTTGATATTTTGTTCTTTTAAATCTAAAAACCGAATATAATACAGTGTTGGATAATACAAATTACATAATATATATATATATATATATATATATATATATATATATATATATATATATATATATATATATATAAATAATATGTTAATGAGTTGACAAATTACTCCGAAAAAAACAATTTGAAGTTATCTAACATTTTTAATTACACGTTTTAAAATGCCATTGACTTTACATAAATACTTGTTTTTGTATTGCCAAAACAAAGTTTTTAAGATATGAATGTGTTTTTTTCCATAATAAGAAATTAAAAAAAATCATATATTTATGTAAATCTCGCTCTTAAACCCAAAAACTTCCTCCTCCTCCTCCTCCTCCTCCTCCTCCTCCTCCTTTCTTCTCTCTTTGCAAGTGTCCCCCTTATTTATCGTCTCTTTTCACGTTGTCTGTCAAGAAATTTGTGATAACTAGGTTTTTTTGTTAAACACCTAAGATAATAATTACGTGATTATTATTTGATTATATGAATATATGCATAATTATGTATGAAAAAATGTGTATGCATGAATTATATTATTAACATGCATAAAGTTTCAGAATATGCATGTATGTATGCATGATTGACATACATGGTTTTCTGATGATGTATATGTGTGCATAAAGTATATTATGCCAATTTGAGAGGTGTTTGTCTGTGTATACACAAGATATTGATGGAAAAGAGTCAAAAATATATTTCTTCCACACCGCCTCTTTGAATTTTATATATTATCCCTTCTAAACCGTCTCTTAAAGACAATATAAATATGGAATTTGCTTTTGAAGAGGGTTATCTTCAAAGTTTGGAAAGAAAACAGTGTGAGAGAAAAAGTGTCTTTCTTCTAAAAATTCAAAAACTAGAATTTTGGGGATTGAAGTTGAAGCAGTTTCTGTTGTATTTTAAAGATGAGTTTTTGTTTCAAATATCCAGTCTTTGAACTTGTTAAGGGGTTAGATTTTTTTTTTTGATAATTGTGCAGATAATATGGGTTTACTTTCTAGAAATTTACAGGTTAAAGAGAACCTATATCGAGCAGTGGTGTTCGATGAAAATTTATTTGATAAAAGTGGTTTACGGATAGTATTATCCGATTAAAGTATGTTTAAACCTTTTGGGATTATAAGAGTACTTTTGTATCTTTCAAATAAGGTTGTAAATCTGGAAAAGGTAATGTTTGAATCTTCTTTCAAAACGTTTGTGACATGAGGTCTATTTTGAAAGAAAAGAGTTTTCAAAGGTTTCTTCAGTACGGTTGTGACTTCGGTCTGTTCCGGTGCGAAACTATTTTGCGAATGTTTCTACGGGACGGTTGTGACTCCGGTCTTTTCCAGTATGAAACTGTTTTTAGGACATTGTTGGCTAAAACTACAGAAGATGTTCCTTTAGGACGGTTGTGACTTCGGTCTGTTCTGATTGGAAATAATGTTTCTATGGGACGGTTGTGACTTCGGACTGTTCCAGTACGAAACTCTGCATCTCTGTAGATTTGAGGAGAAGATAAAGGTTGGCATACCATGAGATAAGAGTGGCAGTTGGATAACTCTGGTTATTATATTAGCAAGAGATAATAGCTCTGGGTTAACATTTCTTTGTGATGTGGGAATTTAGATATATTGCTCTTATTGAAATAATAACTTAGATG